CACTAACTCACAAAGCAGTGCCTTTGCAGCACAAGAGGAGTTTAATCCGATATCTTGCCTTCAGGGCGTGCAGTATTTGCACTCCGGATTCCGTCAACGAAGAGCTACAGAGAATCAGCGACGCCCTTCGTGAAAATGGTTACCCCGGTAAGGTTATCATGAAGCATATGAAAGAACGAAAGCAAAAGCCGCCTAGGAGCACTGCTCCCAAGAAAGAGCTATTCATACATATGCCATTTAAGGGCGATACTGCATCTGATATCTTATCTCGACGTCTGAAAGATGCTGTTGAGAAAACTTATTTCACAGCCCGCTTAAGAATTATTTACCACAACAAGCCATTGCTTGCAAAACCCTTGAAAGTAGTCTGCCATCGTTGACCCGTTCAATGCTCGTTTATCGGTACTCGTGCTCCTGTAGTGCACGATACGTGGGTCGCACAATGAGACGTCTATCCCAGAGGATTCGCGAACACATCCCGGCGTGGTTTTACAAAGGCGAAATGAGGTCCTCAAACAGCTCAATCATGTCGCACCTCCTCGAAAGTGGCCATACTGCATTTGGGAATGACTTTAAAGTCATCTATTCCCTACCTGAATGCTTCTCGCAAGGCTTCCGAAAGCAAATCTTGTCTATTTCCGAGGCAATTTACATCCACCATCTGAAGCCGGAATTATGTGTACCTTAACGATTCATACGACCGATACTACTGCCATGGCCGACGAACATGGTTACCTAATTGCCTTCGTGACCTTTCTTATTTACTTTAGGTTGCTGAGCCTCGTGTATTAAGTTTTCTTTGGTGCACTTTCTTGCCATCTGTAGCCGCATTTAATCATCGAGCTTGACCGTTCAAACACCTTAGAAATCAATCCCAGTCCGATTTGATGCTTACCCCACACAATCAGTGTTATGTAAACGATTGGGTCTGAAGAGAGTTTATCGAAAAGAATTCTTAACCCTGAAGTGATTTCTGGTCTTGATTCATCTGATTACAATGGGAATATTTGCTGTGCTGAAAACCAGCATTGCCCGTGATTCGTTAAAGATGGATTTGATTCGGATGTCTGGTTATCAGATGTCGTATGAATCGACAATCTTTCAGTTAGAAACCGCCAATAAACTGATTTAATAGCATTTTGCCGAGACATTGTGTCGATAGTAGGAGTCTTTTTATTTCAGGTGTGTTGCTAACTCCTTGTTCTTCTTTCACGGATAAATCAATTTGGGCATCGTCGCCATGCTGACGATTTGGCTCTTCATGAGTACTTCTTCCGTTTCTACAACTTGTACAACTTTTAGCCACAGCCAATTACGTGCATTGTAACGTGTCTGCTGCACAACATAGTTGTTTTTAAATTTTGATCATGCCTGAGTTGGTGTATCTCGATGAATTGGAGAATCAAATATTTATTTTATTTATATCTAGCAGTTCTAGATGCTCCGTGAAATAAGTTGCGACAGCAACTCCTCAGCTTCTCGACCGCATGCCAGTGGTGGATCTATGTGAACATTTGTTATTCGTTTTCATCGATCTCTCTTTAGTAATTAAACCAAAAACACCACCGGACTGTCTGTAATTGAAGAGAAATGTGCCGTTAATCTTACTGTTGCTGTTTCATTATAATCTGATATTTTTTGTTCTACATTGTCGGCCACGACTGGACCCATTTTATGATGTGATGGACTGAACCCTGCAAACCAATCACAGTGTATTTACGCAAGGTGAACTAGCATAAACTCACTAACGAGTATTAAAAATGCTCCATTCGAAAGAGTTGAAGAAGGAAAGGGATTATATGGCTTGAGTGCTCCTTCTATATGGGTATAACAATGACCCTAAAGATGAGTAAATGCAGTGTTGCCTTAATTGCTTTTAAGCCACATGAGCACAACGTCAGGTGGGGGAAGAGTGTAGCCGAAACGTTTCTAGAGGCTGTCCTGCATGGAAGTAGGTTTCCCAGCAAACGGTCCCGCAGAGGTTATATTTAAATTTAGAGAATATTCGTCGAAGCTGGACTCAACCAGACAGTCATCACACATCCAGGAAAGCGCTATGCGGTCGTTTCGTCCTATTTGGACTTGTTATTAGCGTACTCTTGCCGGATTCTACTTGATGCGAAACTACGACGTTACACTTTCCAGTCAGCGAGTAATGCCACTGAGCCACAGCCAACGGCAGCGGAATGCCATAACAGATTTCTAACTGCGATATAGCGCCGCTCATCCTCCACTGTTAAGCATGATAGGAACGTGTAGAGGACAGGGCTGGCTCCCAAAGCTACGAATTCCTTTGCAAGCCGCCACCAATCGAGATGGTGTGTAAGCTGCTCAGGCCATTAATGATTTCTGGTGTTTTGAGAATATTCGTCCAAACTAAACTAAGTCAGATAGCCATCACATATTCCAAAAAGGGATATACGGCAGGTTCATCCTAGTAGGATTCTTCAGTGGCGCGCACCTGCCGAATCTTCCCGAATTCGAACCCATAACCTTACCAAAAAAAATCTAACTGATTGGTCACTGAAAACGCGTTTGGGAACCTACCCGAATAAACTGAATAAGTATCTAGCTTGTATGATCCCGTGATATAAACCGACAAGGAAACTTACTGGACTGTATCTCGGCACCGTCGGTAAGTATCCTGTCTACGTTTGTATATTTATATTTAAAATGATTCCTCGTGCCCCATACAGACAGAACTCACGTAAACACTGTGGCGGGTTTTGTCATAAAGGCAGGTAACGAAAGCACAGAACAAAATAAACAAGCAAAATGAATGTAAACAATACGCATAAATCCATAGATTAAAGGAATTAAAATTATGTGATGTGTCGGAGGCTCGCGCCACTAGACACCAACATAGCAGTTACCATGATGAAACGAGCGAGAGGTGACATATGGGTAGTGAGAGCAATCAATCTGCCGCAACAGGACAAACCGCGCGCGCTCACGCTCTGCCCACGAGCCTCCGTCGTTCATGCAAGTCACTGAAGTTAGGGGTACTGCGATATCGCTCGGTTGTCCACGGAGATTCGAATCGGTGACCATCAGATTAAGACCCCTTATCCTTTCGGACATTTACCTGCTGTGATACAGCGTGGTTCATCCTTCTAGAGGTTAGTAACTAAGGCACAGATATATATGACTGGCAGCCTACAGAGAGAAGCTGCGGTTATTAGGGTCAATTCTGTAAACCGGCAATAGGATAACTGATATTGCAGCGCATATAATGCGCTGTCAAAATTAGTGGCCCAGGAAAGTAGAACATTTCCGTCGACCTACATGACCTGGCGTAAAGAGCCGCTGTTTTCCGAGCTGGGTAACACCAGATTCAAGAGAAACGAACGCCGTACATGAATCCTAACCGAGTGAGATGCCGTCTAGCGCTTTTCTTGATGTGCAGCAGCTGCTGCTTGAATTAATCTGCAACGAATTTTTTCGAAAAGTCGTAACAGGCCACCGTCCTTCGATTCTGGGGCTAGGTATACCATGTGGGTCGTACACTTCGCCTCGCTTCTTACCACGGACACGTCCAAAACGCAGTACACCAGTGTGTGAATGAATGAGAACCACCCAATACTCTATGTAATCTCTCGTGAAAGCAGTTAGAACGTACGCCACAAAATCTACAGTGTTCCGGGCATTTCATAATATTCACCAAATGTGAAGATAGACAGATATTGACGTGTTTGTAAAAGAATTGCACGATGTTGCGCGGTTACTGAAGGGGTAGAGACCTGACTGCTAAGCAGCAAGCACATTTGGAGATTGTCCTGTTTGATCACCGATGCCAGTAAGCACTGATCAGTTCTGGGGAGATCACCAAGTAAGTATTACGTAAGTTTCACAGGTGTTATATTTCCGCTCGGGTAGGGTCGGACCACGTCCCATATCAGAAGACAAATGCATTTGAGGAAAGTTCTACGGAGCAAAATAAATGGTTCGTGAGAGAATAACCTAATTAAAAGAGCCTGGATTCTAGCAACTACTACATACCCGAAAACCCGCTTGTTGGTTGTTCAAATAATGCGCTTAGTAAAGAGCCATTCTACTTGGCAGTTTTGAAGGTAAAACGATCTCATTGGCTAGCCTATCAGCTTCAGGCGGGGAAGGGGGGGGGCAATCTGCCTAAGGCTGCTGGCCTGGCTTCTCTTGTTGCTATGGTCGGGTACCCTTAACAATGGTTAGACCAATTGCTCAACAAGTCTGAAAATCAGCTGGTTCACTGCCTGCTGCTTTCCACCCTGTGATGATGAACTGGGTGAGATGTAGAGGTGGCCAGCCAATGACAGCATGAATTGTCTCACCGAAAGACCAAGTACGGTTGGTGCTTGTTTCCCCTATGAGTGAGCTTCTCAAGACTCGGCCACATGAGTGGTGAAATGCCCCATAGGATTTAATGGCATCGTTATTTTCGCTCGCTAAAATTTAACTCTTAGTTAATTTATCTAGAAACTTAAAAATCTTGAACTATAGTTACTACGATAATTGTCACCAATTTGTCGGCGAGCTAAGGGAGCCGGACCCGGTCGAACTCAGTGCACGAATCGCAGCTGCGCGGCAGGACCGGATCGGAGTGAAATCCGCTCCACTTCTAGTCTACTAAGAAAAAAGTTGGGCTCAGCCGACTGAATACAACCCGAGTTCCTCCCGATGGTTTGTGGCTAACTAGGGTTCAGCAAAGAAGTTTAATCACACCGTGCCGGGGGGATCGAGAGAACCCAACACCAGTGTTCTCACAACCTCGGAAAGCAAACAAGATGTGGTATAATAATTTGTGGTAAAACTGTAATGACCGGTTTGTATGTGACAGTGTGCGTGGCTGTCCGCAGAAACGAACTCTCGAAGAAGTGGAGCTCACTTTGCCTGCTTTTCTCACCGACATGGTGCAAAACAAAGCAACAGAACAGGCAGTAGATGAATATAATGGGGAGCGATTCAATGAGCAGTATTCTAAACAAGTTCAGTTTAAATTTGATCGGGCAGATCAAACCGACCTGGAATTTTGCACTGGTCGAAAATGATTTCACTTGTGTGTGATCCACGCATTCCAAGCTTGCGTATCTTCTTTCCTACGCTGAATCCAGGAGTAGACTGAAATCGACACAACAAAGGTAGAAAGAGATGGCGAAACGGCGCCGTGGATCCTACCAATTCCGTACCAAAGGTAAAGTGAAGGTAAAAGGTAGCAGATGCACTTTTGGTTGCTGAAATGGTGTAGACATTTGATTCCGTTAAACTTCGTTGAGGTGCAACTGACAGACAAACTGATCGATCGAGGGGGGGGGCAGAACCGGCAGCAGCAGCAGCCGACCAGGCGGGGAGTTCCAGCCCCCATTGGCACAGCCTCGAAATGCCAGTTGGAACGAACTGTAAATACACTGCTCAAACGCAGTACCTGGCGATCACTCAACAGTGATGGTAGTTCAATCACTGTGAAAAACCATATTACCAAGACATAAGCGACAGAAACATTAAAAGAAGTGAGCGATACTACCTAAAAGTTGGGATTAATGCTACTGGGAAGAATACCAGGTTCCAAGCGAGATGTCGGAGTTGCATGCACGCAACAATGCATTTCCGAACGATCACATGCTCCTTTGCACACTTCGAGTAAGAATAGCAACAAGGCAATCCGATCCAGGGACGTCGAGGTCTCTGGCGAACGTAGGTATCCCTAACCATCGCGAGGAGACTGGACCTTAACGTGGTGCGATGGTTTGTGTGCTTCAGTGATCCATTGAGCTATGCTGGGTAGTGGTTTTTTGCACCTTCAGAGCCACTCATACCAGATTGGAAACAGCCGCTACCGTTAGTAATCATCGTAAGTCATTCCATCTAATACGGGAAACAGGCAGCAGGAAACCTGGTGTTAGCGAGACCATACGCGACGAGAGTGGACAGCCGATCAACAACTGTCGAAACGCTTGGAGCTTTGGGCCGAACACTTTGCAACGCAATTTAACCAACCTGAGTTATAGCTTTCTTTTTCGTGCATTGAGTGCCCTTCTCCTAGGATCCGCCCTCACGCGCAGAAGGTTGTTGAAATTGCATAAGGCCGCAGGGGCAGATAGAATTCCCCCAGCCCTGTACAAATTCGGGGACCTGCTCTAGTGGATCATTTACACGCACTGCTAGTACAACTTTGGGAGCAGGGAACTGTCCTGACAGACTGGAGCCGCTTCGTCATTGTCCCAATTTTCAAGGGAAACTCCCGTTCGGAATGTGGCGATCATAGAGGGATCAGTCTGATCTCAATTGCCTCTAAAGTGTTTACCTCTGTCATTCTCCACAGACTGACTGGCACACGTGAAATCCAGATTCGTGAGAAGCAACCAGGGTTTCGTCGAGGTAGGGGCTGCATCGATCACATCCTCACATTGCGTCAATTGTTGGAGCATCGCAATGTTTAGTGGTGACCCAATGTTATCCTGTTTCTTGACATAAAAGGTGCCTTCGACTCAGTCGATCGATGTTCCCCTTGGGACTGTCTGCTGAGGAAAGATGTGCCTTATAAATACGGAAAGCTTATCAAAGCGCTGTACGCGCAGTTCGGACAGTGAGGGTTTATGGCAAACTGTCGCCACCCTTCAGTATCACCAACGATGTGAGACAAGGTTGCCCGCTGTCACCTTTCCTCTTCAACTTCGCTATTGACGAAGTCATGGAAACAGCGTCCGCTGGACACGACCTGGAAGGTGTGGAGCTGGTTCCTGGTGAGCAAACTTCTTGACTTGGGGTACGCGGACGAGATTGTCCTAATCTGTGACAGCTCTCAAACATGCCAAGCAGCACTGGACCGATTAGCACTGGCTGTCTATCGTTTTGGGTGATGTTTTGCGCAATCCAAAAGCAAAGTACTTATCCAAGATTGACAGGGACCCACCCCTGCGCTGACTCTTGGCGGTGGTCCGCTAGAAGTCGTTCAGGAATCCAAGTACCTAGTTAGTTATATTAGCACCCGTGGAATCGGAGATGAGGTTACGAACCGTATAGCAAAAGCTCGAGGTGCTTTTGCCAATCTCCGCCACCTGTGGCGCAGACGCGACATTACTCTCGCCCTGAAGGGTAGAGTTTATAACGCAGCCGTCCGTTCAACTCTTCTATATGGTTGTGAAACCTGGCCCATCGGGTCGACAGATATAAAGAGGCTAGTCACATTCGATCCTCGCTGCCTTCGCAGCTTAGCTCATGTCTGGTGGGAGCACCGCGTGAGCAGCGTCGCGTATTTGGTGCAGGAAGAGCGAGTGAACCGCTCAGCACCATTATATCACGCACCAGGCACTGACAGATGGGCCACATGTTGCGCATGCCAGCACACCGACTCCCGCGAAGTGTATAATTTGCGCGCCGGGGGTGCGGTTGGAAGAGAAGGGGGGAGGCCAAGCGCTGACTTGTTCGAGAGAAATGAAAACCCGCACTTCGAAGTTGGTGTCGTTTGGTGCATCCCGACTGCCTGGCTGGGGTCCTAAGGACGGTGAACACGTTTGGTTGGACACACTTGCTGATATGGCTAGGAGCCGGCCCCCGTGGCGTTTGTGTTCGATTGTAGATCGCGTAGCGAAATTTTTAGAAGATTAAAGCATAACTCTCAGGCCAACGTCCTCTCAATTGACATACATTCAATCTGACTGCCTGGATTGCACTCTGAGCGCGCGGGTTCGAGCCTGCGTAGGGACCGGGAAACTCTCACAGTATATTTAGCCCAAGTGCGACCGGTGGCGGTTGCATGGCAGCGAGGCGTCGGTACTGTGTACCGGCGTAGTGCTGATGCCTCAATCTCATTGGTGGACCCTACTCAATCTCACAACAATCTACTCATCCAGAAATAGATCGGATTTCATGACCCGGACGTTTGACACGGACCGACCGCCTCCGACGCAGCAGAATCATGGGAACACTGGGGATTTTTACTTAACCAACTTCTTGGTCATTAGCGATTCACACAATCCTGACAAGCTAAAAACATGCTTGCATTTTCTTTCACCAGCTGTGTATAAAAGCATTTCTCGATGTCCCTCGTACGAATTAGCAATCAGCACTCTAGAATCACTCCATATGCAAGCAAAGAATGAAGCGTTCGTGCGTCATTTATTAGCTACCTACAAACAAGGGTCTACCGAAAATCGCGACAAGTTCATACAGATGCTACGAGCACTCGCCAAAGACTGCAATTTTAAGTCTGTGAGTGTGAGAAAAAGCAGGATGATGCCGTCCGCGATGCTATTATCAGTGGGTTATGATTCAGTTCTGTAATAAAAAGATTGTTGAAGCATAAAACCCTAAAAATACAGACTGCTTTTGATCAAGCTAAGTCCCTAGAGTTAGTTCAGAAATAATCTCATTCATTTGAGTCATCGATCTCAATCGTACCTTGCAACGCCATAGCTGTTGAATCCGCTGCTCATGAAAAACCATGCACCAGTGCACCGTTGGACGCCACGCTACCTATCGCTCAAACAAAGTTGTCGGATAAATGCTATTTTTGTGACTACGATCCTCATCCTCGACAAAAAGGTCCCATTGGAGACTCAAACTACAAATCGTGTGGGAGAAGGGACATTTTCAGAAAGTTTGTGGTTCATATACACGTACAAAAATGATACTCTCTGCGTCTGCACATACCGTTACTAATTCAGTTACAGTTCTTTTATTGTACACACACATGAACTCAAAACATTGCCACCTCACTGACGACTTCGCTCCTATTGAGTACTTCTTCCATTTCCGCAACTTGTACAAGTCTCGGTCACTGCTGATTAAATACATAGCAACGTGTCTATTGCGAAACATAATTGCTTGTAAATTTTGATCATGTCTGGTTTGATGTGCCTCGCTGAATTCGAGAATAAAACTATTTATTTATTTATAAAACTATTTATAAAACTAAAACTATAAAACTATTTATAAAACTATTTATTTATAAAACATACTGCTTCCGCTTCACCGTTCGTGGTTTGTTGTATCGTCACCGCAGCTGCGCCGGCATGTCTTGCGAAGGCTATCACAGATGTTTTGTCAGCGGAATGAAACTGAACCCGCTAGTCGGCACAGGAAGCTCTCAGTTTTGTCTGTGAAACCGCTGTACAGGGACACTGTTGGGAAAAGCTGGAATCACACAGGGAAATTGTTTTGGCTGCCCCACCACTTAGTAGTCATACCACTCAAGTCGCAATCCATGAAACTGGGTACGTGTGAGCACAGTCGAACCTCCACTGTGGCCGGCCAACCGTTGCATCCCGCGCCTTTCGTGAGAGACCTCGGTATACCCTTACACTGCGACATAAAGTCCATGAACAACACGAATAGGCTTTGCCAAAAAGGCCTTCGTATGCTTTGGGTGCCCAAACGCAGCTACAGCCTTTGGTCCGAAGAGATTGCCATTCACCCCTTCGTCTCAGTAATACGACTGTCAAAGTAAGGCTCACCCGCATACTGTCCTATCATCGGGGGCTGGGTGGAAAGTATTGAGCGAGTACAGCATGTGGCCACCAGGCTGATCGCAAATTTACGAGGTGTGCCGTACGAAGACCGGTGTAAGAGGCTAGGTCCTTACACCCTATCTTATCGTCGACTGCGTGTTGACCTCAACACGACGCAGCGGATAATAAATCTCGGAGATTACCTCATGTTGAGGCCGCTGCTGCAATGCACATACCAAGCAGCATACGAGAACACCGGTACACGCTTGTAGTACCGGATTTGAAGCGGGTCGCCCGTCAACTGTGTTTCGAACGGAGAGTGGTGAGTATATGGAACAACCTGCCGTAACACATAGTTGAGGCAAAGTCGGAGTCCGAATTCAAGAAATTCTTAGATACACTTTGTCGATATAAAATATATCGAACACACTCCAACATCACAAGTCTTTGTACCTGAGTGATATTAGATTCGGCCACAAAGAGATATCTCTTCTTGCTGCTTCCAACCAGTAATCAGTAATCAAACGATACTGGCTTGCTTTTCCCGTACACAAAGGAGCAATATACCCACATGTTTTCAATAGTTCCGGAGCTGTGCACTGATATAGTATTAGGACACGATTTCCTACAGTTACATACAAGCGTAGAAATACCTTTCCACGGGAATCGAAC